CTCAAACTCAATTAGTATCTGGCCACCCAACTCTCATTAAAGGAGGGAGCAAGTAAGTCACCTTCAACTCCTTCATGAGCAGGACGGTGAGTAGTTAATTAGCCAGCATCTCCTCTGTATAGTTATTGCAGGAGTAGCAGTAGGCTTTTAAAAATACCCCCCCCCCTCTCTTTATTTCTCTTATTTATTTATTATTCAGTTTCACTTCATAATTTTTGGGGTAAAGAATGGGATCTACACAAGTGATGGAATAAGAAGAAGAAGAAGAAGAAGCAGTGCTGCTGTTGCTGCCAGAGAAGAAAAGAATAAAAGGGGATGGGGGGGGGTGTGAACAGGGGGCATGCAAGCAGAATGCTTTACACAGCAACACACCTGTTTCTCCATAATTTAATTTAATACATATAAAAGACAGGAAAAGACATGGGCTCCATTACATCATGGGAATACAACAGCACCAACTCACTGAATAGTACCAATAACAATAATATAATTCAATTGGGTGGGTTGGTCAGTCAGTCAGTTAGTTAGTTAGCAAGCAAGAGTGCATGCATACACGTATTGAAGGATAGAGAAAAAATAAAATAAAAAAGAAGAAAGGGAGGGTATTGGTGGCAAGCGAGGGAGGGGGGGGGGGTCAGGAGTGAGAGAGGCACAGAAAGGGGTCTTATGAATATGAATACAAATATATATAAAAATAAAATAAAGAATGAACAATAGTACTTCATTAAACTCTGTATAGTAACAATTTTAGCAGTAATGGGTAATGGAAGCATCAGGAGGAGGAGGAGAAGAAGTAGAAGCCGTCTGTTCATGTGGGTAGAACTGGATATTCTTATTATTATTAATTTATTATTGTTATTGTTATTATTACAAGGAAGGAAGGGTATGTGTTTTCCCACTACACTGTACCTGCAGTGGTCTCTCTCTCTCTCTCTCTCACACACACACACACAATCCAATTACTTTCACTTTACATGTATTCAACTATGTTGACCCAATTCAATGGTCTCCATCTTTTCACTTTTTGAAAACATAACCTCCAATTGTATTTAGAATAAATTTTTGGTTTCAAGGTTTTTGCTTTTTCTTTTTCTCCTTCTTTTCTTCTTATTTTTGTATTTTTCAAAGTGCATGTAACATATTGTTTTTTGCAATTGAATGTGTCTTGTAATTTTTCTGGCAATGTTTAGATGTGTATGTTTATGTTAACATGTATGTTGACATGTATAATGGCAATGTTTAGATGTCTAACACTATACATGTTAATTTTGGAGTCAAGTAAGTGCAATGTTGTTAAAGCATTTTTTAAAATTTGGAAATAAAGAGGAAAACACTTTTATTCATGTGTATTTCAAAATGCTTTGAGATTCTAAACAATTGCATTTTTTTAAGTGCTATTTTAAAAATAAATTTAGTATATTTTAAAAATGTTATAATAAGCTTATCTTAATTAATTTTACCTAATATATTATTAACTTTAATTAGATATCTTTCATCTTAAAAATATAACACTAACCTTAGTAAGTTATGGTGAAGCTAACTTTCATATTTGATGTTTAAAAATTACATAATTTTTTGACAATTTCAATGCTTTGGGCATTTTTAAATATTCCAACAAAAAGAGATACATATGCATATTTTATTCTTGAAACCTAAAAATATAATTTATTTCATAAATACTTGTGTAATTTATTATAAAGCATAATAATATATATATATATATATATACACACACACAAGTGGTTAAACCCATTAACTTTGCCAACATCAAGTACATTTTTTGTTTAAATAAATCATGTCCAGTGAATACACAAAAAATACACAAACATGAAAATTTCATAAAATTTCATAATTTGCAAGCTTATCAAGAGCTGTGTGGATTTTCAGAAGCTCACATAACATGCTCATATTTTAGTATTAATGCAAACCAAAAAAAGGTTTCACTATTGCTGAATGTGTGTGAATTTGATTCTACTGGTTAGATGCTTCATCGTTTCATGACTGGATATTAGGCGCCATGAATCTGGGCATGAATTCTTTCTTCTTCATTTCTTGTTTAAACACAAAATCATGAAATTGAAATTTACAGTCTACATAAAATTCACATGAAATTAAAATTCACAGTCATTAGAAGAAATTCAACCTAAGCAGGGCCCTCCCTCCTGCATGTTGAAACGCTTGTTGCTTGTGAAATTTAGTGTTGCCCACTGCCATTTTTATGTTTTTTTCTAAACTTTGCTGCTTCTCATGTGTAGGGGAACCACTCCTTGTTCCAACTCCCACATGCTCTCTTTTCTCAGCAGCAAGATATCGTCATTCATACTGAAACTTTAAGCAAAAGTGTTTTTGTCCAAATGGAAGTTGTAGGAGATGTTTCTACATTTCTAACATGTATTTGTTACTATATTTTTGAATCTGGACTAAATTGAAATGAACCCATTTCTTGAGTTGCAGGACCTAGAAGGACTATTTTCCTGTATCTTGGGTCACAAAGCTGCTGAATATGTTGAGTTTAGATTATAATGCAATTCTTTTCGCTGAATTACCTATTATCTTGGGCTTTGTTTCTTGTAATCAACATGATAATATCTTTCATGCTGTTAAACAATAGTATCAATTGCAGTTGTGAGTTTGTCATGTCACTTCTTTGTAAGAAGTTGAATGATGAGTGATGATTTGATGTGGTATATGTCACAGAGTTGTAGAGAGTGTAGGCAAGAGAGTGACAGAGTTGAAGCCTAGAGATCATGTTATTCCTTGCTACGAAGCTGAATGCTGTGAATGCAAGTTCTGCAAATCCGTAGAAACAAATTTGTGTGGAAAAGTCAGTCCTGCAACTAGAAAGTGGGTCATGCTAAGCTACCATCAGTAGAGGTTCAAAGTTGCTGGGAAACTAGAAACTAGAGCATTTTTCTCTCTAATCCGTGCCAAGGACAAGGATCTGTGCTTCAAAGAGGAAAGTGACATAGTCTGTTGAAGGACAGGTGCCATACACTAAGTAGCTTCGATTGTAGGCAACAGAAAATCCCTCAAACTTGGGGCCTTTTGTTCAACAAAATATTTTTTTATGCTACAAATATTTCATGAAATTCATACTCTATAAACAATATGACTCTCATTCTATAAACACAAAATGTTCACATTGCACTTGGTTTGTATGCGTTTGGCAGATTTGAGGATGTTTAGCTGTGTAGGTTGTGAAGCAAGAGCGACAACAACAAGTACACGTGGGTGCATCACCTTGCATCTTTAAAATAGTTGCAATTAGCAATTAGTCAAGCAATTAGCCAAGCAAAGCAAAGGACCCATTTTTCTCTGGCTTTGAATGTCATTTGCCTTGAGCTATAAGTTTTGATATGCTAGTGTAGTGCAGGCTTTTTGTGCAGACATCCATTTTGGTTGCTCTGACTTTTTGTGAAGACAATGCTACTCTAAAATGTCATGTAGCACAACAGAGATGCTTGGTTTTTAGTGCCAAATTAATAGCAAAATGGAGCCACGTTTCACACTCAATCAATGGCAAGATGCAAATCATGTGCAGCACACAACATATGTTAGCAGCCACATAATATAAGGACCTCACTGTAACTATACACAAATGTAACTACACACATAGTTTTAGTGCCCCTTACAGCTCAACCAATGGAATTTTTGATGCAACATACAGATGCTTAAAGATGATTTTTTTATATAAGTGGTAAAAGTGGTGTTCACTTCTACAAAGGGCCCTTCATTGCAACTTGATGCACCACTTTGTGCAATTATTGAAAAAAAAAAAAAAAAAAAAAAGAACAAAAAACAAACAAAATATATATATATATATATATATATATATACATATACATAATATACCTCAGCAATCAATGCCCTCTATTGCTAGAATCAATGGGATTTTTTGATGTTACATAGAAACATAGGCTGCTTGTCTATATACATATATATATCTATAGAATGTTTATTGCTATAAAATAATGTTATAAAATTTTATCTACAATGAATTAACAATAAAAGTATCAAACTAAATCTTTTTATTATCTCACTTCAGTTTTCAATCTCATCTACTTCTTCTTTCTTTCTTTACTTACTTTTCTAATGTCTTCATTGCTTGCATCAACCTGACATTATCCCAGTCCTGATGGGTTTGAATATTCTGTAACTTCACATATGATTTCCTTCACAATAAGAGAAGGTATTTACTATTGCACAAACTTGGAGATATCACAGATAATTTTTTTGTTTGTCTTTATGATATATATATACTTTTTAAAACTTCCATGATCTATTACGACTAATGAATATTGCAACTTGTTTTTGTCATTGCTTTGTTGACCAACATTTTAATAACACACCACCATTATCTATTTTGACTTTTATTTTTATTTTTTAATGTTTCGTTGTTAAAACAGTTTTACATACAAAATAAGAAACTGTACACAGCCAAAAATTACATGTGATGGTACATAACATGCTGATAAGAAAACATGCTAATAACATGCTAACATGTTAAAAAAATGCTCTTTTACAGAGATTTGTTGCTTGTATGCCATCTACCACTACATGTTTATTGTCTTCAAAATGTCGTTTTCTTTGCTTTCTGAAAATACAACATCCATGTTTGGTAATATATATATATATATATATATATACCATTATACATTTTGAATTTATATTTGGTGACTTAGAATAAACGTTGTATTTATACTATTTGAATTATATTAAAACTTTCAAAAATAACAAAAGTAATTATCAGTTTTTTTATTAAAATCTTCTGTATATATAAAATTTTAACAATGATAAGTCTATTTGTATAATATCAAATACTAGATTTCAACTTGTAAAACCTACAATGTCTATCATAACTGGTGTTTCTACTCTCAAAGTAGTCTTGTACTTGTTTTAAAAAAAAGATTGAAATTATGTATTTTTGAAGGACATTTAAAACTATTCCTTCACATGGTTTGAATTCTTCGAGAAAATATATTTGTGTTTTTTTCTGGACCTACTGGAATATTTGCCATTGTATATGAGCAATTGAAGGGATTTGTAACAATATCTTCAACTCTAAATGAATCAATGCTCCAAACAATGGGTCGAATGCAGCAATAAACCACACTCCAATGCTGTCAACAATACTGATGTAGTATCCAATTCCCTTCCTCCTAACAGTCTGAAATTCAAAAACATGTGCATTATTACTTCTCCCTCAAAAACCACACGAACTCTTTCATCTTTGATTTACATGCCGAGAGGCCACATCTACTCAAGGATACCCCCATTTGACACTGCTTCCCCTGGAATCCTGTCATCAAGAACTCACAAAACTTTTCACCTCAGCTTTTCCGCAATACTTCCACCACCGTTCAGTTCAGACGCCCCCTATTACATTCACCCCGCCTTATCAAAGTCCCACCGACACCCATCATGGTGGTTGTCACATCCACAGCAAGCTGATGCTAATGTATCTACAATTCTCATACTCGAAGTAGACGTCCCGCGACTCCACACGCCACACATCTTGCTAGTGATACAGAGCCACTTCCTCCATGTGGTATCCTGATTGAAGAGTAACCTGATCCTACTGATATCTACAATTCACATCCTCACATCCTCAAATAACTAGATCCCCCCCCCCTCACCAACAAATCAATACGCACTATAATCAGCGCCTGCCTTCTTGTTTCCGCCTTCCGAAAACAATGCACTCATTTCACTTCGCAAAACTTTTCCCACCGCGCGTTACTCTAACTGGTCTCCCATATGAGCCCCGTCCGAATGAAATAGGATTGGACGACACCGCTTGTCCTCGTTCATCAGGCTCGAGTTCTGGAAGTGAGCCACCAGAGCAGCTTTGCCCTGGATTCGGGCGTACGCCAGTGAAGCCACCTTCTCCGAGTTGAACTTCTCCCACTTCTTCCCGTTGAACGCCTTGTAAAACGGAACTATGCGCGACGGCGACATCATGTTGATGAACGCATACCCAACATTGCACTTGTTCTGCGCACCCATCACGCGCCACCTCGTTACCCACACGCCTTCGCACCAAACACAACCCCACACGTGCCCCCCTCCACACCTCACCCACTGTCTCGTTCTGTCCCCCCAAACCTACTTGGAATGCACACCTATGCTCCACCCGACCACTACCAAATACTCAACCCATCACAGTGCCGGTCAACGTACCTTGAAGTCGATTGGAAGATAGATGAAGTCGTACGTGCCCCGATGATGCTCATCGATTGCGGCCAACAGCATCTTCGATGTGTACCTGACATCCCACCGCAACACGTTCAGCCCCAACAACATCACCAAGCCCCACATCCTTCCCACCACCTCCGACACAAGATCTGCACTGCTCCTCCCAAAGCCCTACCGAATTCACACCTTCACCACCTCATCCTTTCCCAACACCTCCCACCGCACTCTTCCCATCACCGACCGCTACATCGTCAACCCACTTACTTGTTCGGGATGTTCTTGATCATCAGAGTGGTCCTCGGATCATCCCCGCGCAATATCCGCTCCAGGTCCAGTTGGTACTGCTTCTTGTTGTCCGCTTGCGCAGCAACGCTCTCGCCCCTCCGACTCCGACCCCTGTCCGACGCACCCTCTATTGAACTCGGCCCCAGCGGACCTCCGTTCTGCAGAAAACGTGTCCGAGCCTGAGGAGACATCATCCCCACGTTTGGCGACGATGCGTGCTCCATCCCCGAACTGCCTCCCAGAGAACTGCTCGAGTTCATCATCCCATGCTGGTGACTCACCCCGATGTTTATCGCATGGGCTGCATTCCCTCCCAATCCTGTCCCCGATGACGACCTCAACAGCGAGCTCGACTCCCCCAATGACTCCCCTCCTATGTAGCTGTGACGCCTCTCCAAAAGCGACGGCTCCCCTGATGGCGCTGAACCCACGTGGTGACGTGAAAGACCCGACAATAAGCTGCTGTTGAACGCGTGTGCTTGCAGCTGTGCCTGCCCCATTCCGTAAAACGACTGCCCCACCGACGACGAGTTCGACCACAGAGCTGGAGGCGGACTCTGAGACATGTGCGAAAACGAGGAACTCGGAGTACCCCACAGACTGAACTGCTGCCCGGACAGGGAACCGTTCCCATTCGAGCTGGGAAACATCAATCCGCCGCTACCAGGCCGCACTGCACACATTCGCACCACCGCGTCATCAGCACCTACACCACATCCAGTAAAACCCTAATTTGCAAAACAACCCTTTGTCACTGCGCCACTCCCTCCCCCATGCAACTTTCCACATTGCACCCAGCTCCGACCTCCCCAAATCCCCAAACCTACGTCTGCAATGCCCCACGCCACACGCACCTCCGCTGGCATTCTCCAGCACCGATGTGTCGCCGAAGCTCGTCATCCCGCTCGTCGTCCGTTGCAAACGACTCCCACCGTCCATGCTGTCCCGACCCTCGCGCGCCCTCATCACACCTGCATTGGACCCGGACCCGCCTGATACAGGTGTTCCAAACTGCCCGACATTCATTGCACCCTTGCTGAACTCCGGAAGCGAGTGTGGATGAGGGGGCAACCGATACCCACCCATTCCCCCATGTCCCAGAGACTGACCTCCCGCTTCCATGTGGTTCGCTTGCCCCACATGGCTCCCTATCGTGCCCACTCTGATCGGTTGAGACATGTGCGACGCGAAGTTCGGAACGCTCGGGGGCTTGTTCGGAGACTGGAAATTCCCGTGCCCCAGCAACGGATACATTCCCCGCATCGACCCGTTCTCGGCACCGCCATTCCACATGGAACCATGCCCTGAACACCCCAACCCCCGTTCCAATCACCCCCTCGTCACCAAATGCTTCACCCTACTTGCTCTCCCCTCACCATATCCTTCTTCTTATGCAGCAAACGTCCTTCTACTTCACGCACAATCACTGTACCCACCAACCACGACCCATCTCACCTCCCACACGCCACTCGGCTGTCATTACCTCACAGCAATTCCTACTGCTAGGGCTACAGATCATTACCCGGAGGTGACGTATTCAGCGGCGAATGAGGTTGTTGCCTCGCCCGGGGGTCTTCGTCCCCGGCTTCCTGATTCAGCTGTTGCAGCAAGCTGCTGCTACACCCGCCAATCCCATTCCAAACACAACAAAACGTCAATAACTCCATACCAATCGTCCCCTCACTTCCCACATTGCACTTCACTCGACCGACAAATCCTAACTCCTCTAATGGCCCCCGCTCCGCCGCAGTCCGTCTACACTTCCGACCTCCCCAACTCCAAACGGAACCCACACGCCATTTCGTTACCCCCTCTCAATTTTATGACAACCCCACGACACCTCAACTCGAACCTTCACTCAGGACCAGGGACTAACCTCCGTCGCGCTCCACCTGGTCGACTTGGCTCAAGCTTGATGCGCTTGCCGGCTATATCGCTTCTATTCAGAGCCCGCAATGCCGCCTCTGCCGACCGAACATCATAGAACTCGATGAACTTGTGATGCCGCTTGTGCGGCGTCTCCCGAATCTACCCACATTTCCACACACATATCAAACCATTGCCTCACCGCCTCGCAACACCGCTCAGCCCAGATAGCATATCCTATGTATCACAAACAACCCACGCCTTTCGCACCACCCTCCCCAGTTCCGCAACACAACTCTACGGCACTCGCGACCCATCTCACCACCCCCATGCTCTTGTCCGTTTCGCCCCACATTCAACACACGGGCACCACTTCACATCCCGCTCACCTCTTTCACTTCGCCGTAAACTCCAAATATTAGCCGTAGCTCGTCGTTCGACACCGATGCGTCCAAATTGAACACCACCAGCGTCCCCTGGTTCACGTCCTTGTCCGATGGATTATCCTGCACCCAACACATGCCATCGCAACTACCACTTCAGCGTCTGCACACAACTACCCCATTCCCTGCAACCCCAACCCCGTCGCTTTCACCGCCGACCGAGCATTGCGTTGCGTTTCACCACATGCACCAGACGAGCGACCAACATGCAATCAACCCCAACAACAACCTACTCCAACCGACACCACGCACCCAGAACCTCTAGTTTTCCTCGTAACACACCCACCCGCTGCCTCACCTTCGGGATCGAAAAGTGAATATCCAGCTTGCGCCGCCTCAGCGGTTTGTTCTGCAGCGCTCGCATCGCGCTCCGTGCTGCTCGAATGTCATAATACGAGATCATCACAAACCCTCGATGCTTGCAAGCAGTGTACAACGTGCGGATGGCTCCGTATTGCTGCAGCACACCGCACAATAACACCACTCGTCAGCGCTACCCCGACCTCTACCTACACAACGTACCACTCACTCCGCACTCCCAACACTACGACACACTCCCTGCTCTATCACCACGCTGCCCTTCACACATGACTTCGCATGCATAGCCCTGCCACACTCAGATCGATGCATCACGATGACCATCGTCATGCTAATCCCTCCTGCTGCAACAGTACCTCGAACAGCTGCCTCAACTCCGTGTCCTCCACGTTCGAATTTATGTTCCGCACAAACAGCGTCCGTGACGGATGCTCCCCGTATGGATGCTCTCCAGCAACGGATCCTGCAGCCCCGGACTGTAGCCCCGCCGCTGACCCGTCTCCTAACCGATGGTTGCTCATGTACACACCAAGGGCATCCTGAGCGTCGCCTTCTAGCTCCATCCCACCTCCAGAGCTGAACAGATCGAACTCGTCCAGTTCCTCCATGTTCGCATTCTCGTCCCTCCTGTTCTGCGGAATGTCGTAGCTATCTGCCACCCCCGCCAACAACTCTTCTTCGTCGTCCGGAAGCAGGTTCCCGATCGTGTTGAACTCCAACTCCTCCAACGACCCATATGCCAGCGTGTCGTCCGGGTCCAGGTCGGTGATCAAGTGCGCCGAAGCAGCGTCCAAAGACTGAACCACACGGTTCTCTGATTCCGACAACCTCACTGCAAAACAACCCACCGCACATTTCGTGTCAAACTCTTCAACTTGAACCCCCTCGGCTTCACAACACACTTTTCCCTCTACTGCACCTCACAATTCGCCCAACCATGCACGGCCATTTCCCAGGGCTACCTTCGCCAGGACCGCCACCGACAGTACACATGGCATTGTGCACGCCTCCAGAACTTTGCATCGACAACCGAAACGCAAACACCTGGACTACCACCATTCACCATCTACCACAGCTACACACACGTCCTACCAACAAATGGAGTGGCGTGTCACTGCTTTACATTTCTCGAAAATTGCCGGAAACGACGTCGAGAAGTTGGCGTCCATCGCCCTCATCGACTCCAGATTGTCCAGGCTACCATCCACCAGTGGAGACGACGACAGTCCCGCTACATCACTCCTGTCATTCGCCACACTCCAAGAGTACGACGACACGCTGGGCGATCTCCCCTCCCCTGCTGCACCTATTCTCCATTGTTCTGCATTGCCCTGCTGCCCGCTTTGAGGACTGCCCCTTGCCCAGTCCCCTTGCCCACCCCGATTCATCTGATTGCTCAACGACCATTGCTGAGATCCTAACCCCCTGGGAGGGCCCATTCCTGGGGGCGGGTTGTTGGCGTACCCCCCCGACATCGTCCGCCTGCTTGGCTCCATACTCCGCTCTCAGATGCTACACTGTGGCCTGGCAACACACACCGTCCACTATCATACGTCACTCCCCTCACTTCGCTGCATTCACAAACTTTTGCGCTGAACCTCCTCATGTCACGCCCGCAGGCAGAGCAATCATGCCACCCTCAGTACAACATGACCAGCACTTTGAACGACTCGATTTTCGTGATAATGAAGAGGATGGGAACTCTTGAAACCCCAAACGTATGAATTCTTCTCATTTACACACGAGCGCCAACTCGAATTCAAACTTTGACGAGTACAGGATCAGTCTGAACACATCCTACCATGAGGCAATGCAAAGTTCTTACAGCAAACACGCAGAAGAAGAGCTTCGCAGGCTGTGAGACAGCACTTATTTCAACCTATTGCGTATAATAATAACTTTCGTGTCTAAGAAACCAACCTGTTAACAAAGAACCGGTAACCACCGGGAAGAGTCCTAAAAGGGTGCGACCAACAAGTTCTTGGTCTCTACTGCTGATGATCGTTTCAATCCATGAATGTGAAATATTTGACGGAAAGAGAGGGACAGACCACATGGGGCATCTTCAAAGCGATGTTTGAAATCGTCACTAAACATCTCTGCCGTCTCCACTTTCTCGCAAAAACTCACAGAATAAATCGACCATCCGCACCCTAAAAGTGGCAACGAAACCCCACCACATATTACATAGACGGCGAACAAAGCTGCACGACGCAACACAATCACACCGACGAAGATCGTTTCCCATGGCGAATGTTACCCTTTCACTCCTACCCAAAATCAGGTAAGCATGTGACTTGACCAGCACAACAACCCTGCGAAGCTCCTGTCGACCGTGCAATAAAAGAGCTCTCAAACACCATAAAACAGAGACAGCACGCGCGCGCACACAACCAAACACACACACACACACACACACAGTGTCCATCACACAGCCCAACGCATGTAATCGCCATCGCCACACTTCTACACTTCCTACCTTCCCTACACTCCCATACCGATCCCCCGTCACAAAATCCCAACTTCCACCATGACAGACAACCCACACCCCAAATAATTCATTCCACACCGGGAAAGCAGCAAGTGAGAGAGAGAACCTGACACAAATTCGTCCGCGACATGCTCAGCCGAAGCCACTACCCCAGGAAGACTCCTCCACAATCAATCACGCTTCCACACACTCCGTTCCCCCCGAGCTGTAGCAGCCAGAAAAATCAACTTCAGTCACACTACACAGCGCCCAAAGCTCTTCCCCCACAACCACAACCACCCTACCAACCCGAACCCGAGTAAAAGGCTCAACCCGCCAAAAATCTAATGCGACCCCAAGTTCAAGCTACCATTCCCACAATCCAAGAGAAGGCTCTCGCGCCCTACCCTGGCCCTCGCGTTCTTTACCCCAGCACCGGTGCACAAATGCAACACGGCTACGACACAACCCACCTCGCGCCGCGAATAACCTGCTCTCACACCCACCGCAAGCTAAAGCAAAAGGATGAGGGGCAAAGCAAAGAGGGGGAAGAGAATGCAAATGGGGTGGGATGCACGAGGGATAAGCGAGGCTTTTCTCATGCACGAGAGAGAGAGGGTCAGGTGATGACAGGGCCTCAGAAACGCGAAAGCGAAAAGCGCCCGGGTGCACAGAAGAATAAGAAGTAGAAGTAGACGAAGAAGGAAGAAACGTAATAAGAGGAGCGAGAGAAGCCAAGCCAAGCCAAACCAAGCAACGGGGAGCGGGAGACAGACAAGGAAGGGGACGGTGCTTGCTCCCACTCCTCTCTTTCCCCTTCCCTTCCCTTCCCCGCTCTGCCATAGCAGCAGCAGGATGCAGGCAGCGCGGCCCCAGCGGATGAGGCACCGGTGCCCGGGTCGTGGGCCTTCCTTCCCTCCCTCCCTCCCGAGCGGCATGGCAGATGTGTGGCCTCGTCGCCAACAAAATCCGCAAAAGCAACACAATACTGGTCTCTCATCGATTTACCTCCATCACGCTAATCATTGCCGCGCCTTTCCGTGAGGCAGCGCGGGGCAGCACAGCACAACACAACACGAAGGGGGCAAAGAAAGGAAGCGAAGGTAGAAAGAAGGAAAGAATGGGGGAAAAAAAGGAAAAAAGAAAAAGACTACGACGACTAGGGAATAACGAAGGCGATGTCCAAGCTCCGGAGGTTTCATGGAAGATGCGCAACTCGCGCGGAGCTCCGCATTACTTGGTTGCGGGGGGGTGTGTCTCGCAACCGAGGGCGGCGCCTTCTGGACGGTGGGACCTCTTCTTTTCCCCCCCCCCGCTTCGTAATTTTTGCGCGCTATGACTAGGCCTCCGTCGCCATCTCACCCTTATTTCGTGCCGACAATCTTTCCAACCACCCGTTCCGATTCTACCCGACCCTGGCCCGATTTCCTGTTGGGCCCGGGTGGAGTCGGCCCCGTCTGCCCGCGCTGCCCGCTTGGACGGTGTAAGGAGTTGACTTGATCACTCCGCCATTATTTTCCAATGCATTTATTCTATTTTATTTTCCCTTTTCATTTGTTTCTTTTTCATTTTCTTTGGTTGTAGTTTCCTTTAGGGTTAAGGTATTTTTTAGGGTGTTGGAGGAGATTGGAGAAGAATGTTCATTTTTCATTGATTTAAATAAGATGGATGTAACTTTCTCGCTTATACAAAATAATTGAAAAATATAATTTGTTTTTAGAATAGTAAGAAGTTAATTCTCCAAAGCATTTAAGAAAAATGAATGAAGAAGTAGGAGGAACAATTGTTTGATTTATATATTCACCACTTTTGGATTTTCAATTATTAAAAAGTATATAATAAAAGATAAGATATCATTAGATGATTTATCTGTTATAAGAGAAGTTTACATTGTTTATTTTCTAAAAAATATTCTTCTAAATTATTTTCTTCCTTTGACAACTATATTTTATTTATTTATTTTTAATATGATAAAAGAATGATATTTTGTCTATATAAATATATTATGTATATTTATTTGAATAATTTTTTAATTCTATATTTACATCTCTCTCACTAAATAATCTTATAACTACATCTTTGTTGCTTCAAAGTATAGTCTAAATCCTCTTTTGATCATATTTTTAGAATTTTAAATATTTAAATAATTTATTATAGTAGATATTATAATATTTCTTTTTAGATTATATATCAAGTATTAATAATATATATATATATATATATATATATATATACTACCTCTCATAAGTTTTAGGGTTGGTTCACCTCTCAAAACATAATTTATAGGAGGTTAAAATTTACTAGATTTGGCTAAAATCATGAATCTACTCAAGTGTCTACTTATTACCAACCTACTTTTTTCCTTATTGCATGTCCAACACCTATATGCTCCTTATAATGTCACACTTCACCAATGCATAATAATTGCTAATTTACAAGTAAAAAAATGCATAGCCTTTGATCTTGCAAATATTTATTGTAAGGTGGACCAAAATCAAGTTTAAGCTTATGAAAGCACCTTCATAAGTTACTATTAGCAAAATCCTAAAGAAATCGGATGAGTATGAAGCCATAGACTAGGACTAGCTTCAAGCAAAGCACCCAAATATAATTTACTTTCTCGACCTTGAGAAATCACTTGTTCTATAGACTTTGCAATGGCAATCTCAAAATGTGTTGTTACTAACAAAGCTAATTAAAGACCATGGTCGATACTTTGTAGAGATGCTCACAATCTTTGAAGAAAAAATGGAGTTTTTGAATAACCGGTTTGAAAATTTTCTCTTTTGTTCCAAGATAAAACTAATCAAAATGTACAAGGATGCAAACTTAGCTAATCAAGTTAGTATTGATGCGACAATACTTGCTTTATGTGCTTGCATTGTGAGTTATGATTTGTGTGACATATACAATATAGATGAAATAGAATTGTTGTATAATATGATATCAGACCAAATCGTTGCTCAACAAAAAACCACTAGCTACAAGAAAGAAACTGCTCAAACCACCATTGCATTCAAAACTAATACCAATGAAATCCATAATTTACTATTATTTTTTATTGGCTATGCCTACAAGCCCTGTTGCTTCAATTGTTGTACATGAAAATAATTGGATTTTTGTTATCTATTTAATAAGAAAGTATAGATGATTGATTTTTTTTTTTTTTTTTTTTTTTTTTTTTTCCAATAATGAGTCAAAAATCTTGACAAAGAGATGGAAAAGACATGTCGATGGATCTTGCTTGTCATAAACAATGCACCATTACATATTACAAATAACCAAATTTCTCTCAATGTAAATATTTGTGTCATATATATATATATATATATATATATATAGGTATTCTAGTAAATACCTATATGATTAGGTAGAAATAGATAAAAATAGATAAAATAGATTAATTTCATAATACCTTATAGAGAAGCTTCTTAGAAGTTTCATAGATGTTGCTTTGACTTTATATGTGTTTGTAATTGATTGATAGGTTAGAAACTTGGTCAACATATTAACCACATGTTAATAGCTTGCAAAACAAGTTAATTGTGTGATGACATATAGAAAACTTGCCTTACAAGTTAAGATATGTGTCTTATAAAGTCAACATGTTTTAGAAGTCCTATAAAATATTGCCACGTAACTCTTAGTTAAGATTATATATGGAAGCAAGAGTGAGGCCTTGTTCACTCTTATCAATGCCTTTTTAGTCTTTAATCTGGTTTCAAGATTTTCTAGTCTTCTTGTTTTTGGCAATAGCCATTATAATTCAATACTATATCATCTTTGAATGACTTTTTAGTTCTTTTCAGTGTTATAAGAGTGTATAGAGGATATCTTTCTTTGAGATTCATGTCCTTGATAGTTTGACAAGAGTGCTTACTTAGTATTTTTTATCTAATTTTAAAAGTGAGTAGATTACTTCATTTCTATTGTTGTATTTTGAAGGTTGTAGATTGTCCACCTTTAAAAAAAAGAAATCTTATTTTCTAATATTAATCTTTTCCTTAAAGAGAGTGGATTATTCTTCTTTCAAACCATATTGAAATTGATTGATAAGGACTTTATTATTCTAGTCCATGTCACAAGCGAGGTTTTAGAATTCAGCAACATATATGGTGGTTGACCAAGATCTTTGCCATAAAGATAAGAGCTTGGTCTCTGCTACTCTTTTTCGATCACTTTTTCCAAATGTGGCCGTAAACACTTCTATGAATGAATTCAAATCATAAAAGAGTCAGAAATTATTTTCCATTAAAGGTGCAAACTAAAAGAGAGTATTTCTTGATAGAAGTGTGTCTATGAATCTAACTTGAATAAATCCATTAGAGTATTGGAAGAGATGCAATCTTAGATAGAGCTTAACTTGGTGCAAAAATCTTCAAAATTTTGATCTTGTTCCATCAAACTTCTTAGGCATACTAATCCTTGTCCTTGCCATACTTATAGAAGCAAAACTTCTTGGATTTGGTTCCAATATTAATCTACTTGCTTCATTCAACTATAAAACTTTTTGATATAGACTCTAAATTTCTTCCATGGGCGTAGGCATAGTACCTCTAGGTTATTAACAATGCCAGAATTAGAATCTTTGGAATAATTTATTGCTCAAGCCATTACATGTAATAATTGATTATTTGAGAGATGTCAAGAATAAAGATTTTGTTAGAGAAGAACAAATCAAATAATGACGACAACTCCCAAGTTTTTAGAAACTTATTCATCAAAGTTAGAACCAATGCAAATTGATTTGATACATTTTAAACTCCTTATAGAAAAAAAAAAGACTTGACAATATCAAAAGGACTTATACTTATATTGTAGAGAAGTTAAATATATTGCTCAACATTGTCCAAAGAAACAATGTAATCACAAAATGAGAAGAATGGTTGCTAAAGAAGATAAGGTGTCAAAAAACAAGTTTCTTCAATTACAATTGAGACCGTATGGCTAAAATATTATATAACTCCTAGTAAAGGTCATACTCTCTCTTTCGATCCTTCACCTTGTTTTACAATAGAAGTTTATTTAGGACCAAAAAATCATAAAGTCTTAGCTTTGTTAGATTCAGGAGCCTCAACCTGTTTAATAGATAAAGATTTTATCAAAAAATAAGAGATATTATTAATCAAAAAAACTAAACTTGTACATGTATAAGTCATAGATGGTCGTTGACTATCTTGTGGAGATATTATGCATGAAAAAATTCCTTTAGACATAGCAATTAAAGATCATAATAACATAGTAATATTTAATACAATAAGATCTCTGTCTAATCCGATTATTTTAAGATTATCTTGATTAAAAAAGTATAATCTTCAAATAGATTGAATTTCTTATAACCTTATTTTTTCTAATAATTTAATCTAAAATCTCATTAGTCAAGTAGAAATACATAAGTCTAGTACATCAAAATCCTTACTAGTAGGTACAAAAGCTTTTATGCATGTTGTAAAAGAAGGATTATCTTTTGCTATATATACCACATCTATTTTTGATGGAAAAAAGATGTCAAGTGGTATTCCTAGTTAGTATCAAGATTTCTTGAATGTTTTTGAAAAGAAAAATGGAGATATTCTTCTAAAGCATCATCTTTATGATTGTTCCATCAATCTTTATGAAGGGACTAAATTACCACTTAGATCAATCTATAGCCTATCAGAAAATGAGTTGGTTGCACTCAAAGAATATATTAATGAAAACTTTGCTAAGAATTTCATACATCATTTTAAATCTCTAGCTGAAACTCTTATCTTATTTATGGAAAAAAAATGGATCTTTACAAATGCGTGTAGATTATTGAAGGCTCAACAAGATCACTATCAAGAATAGGTATCCTCTA